GCCCCAGCCAGACCATCATTAAAGTGCCGAATTCTCTGCCAAATAATTTTAAGTAAATGAAAGCATTTTGGATTGCTTTCCTTACTTTGTTTGGATCATCTTAAGTTAATGTATGAGTTGTTTTTTCTAACGTAAAACCTCAGTGTTAAATTGCCGTGTTGGCACTTTGCGATCAATAAGTGGGTTTTGGGTTGCAGTTTGGGCACTCAGTCTCTAAAAGGTTCTCCATCACTGCTCTACAGAATCCATCACAATCAAAACTGGGCGGCAGATACCAGCATTCACTTTCTGTCAGAGTGGATTAGAAAAGCGGCTTCGTGCACCTCTGGGAGGCAATTCTATGGGTTGGAGTGAGGGGCACCACCAACAAAGGTGTTACTTTCACTGAGGTCAAACTAGCCTCCTAGAAGGAGGGAACGCCCGGGAACAATTGTTGGGCTGACTGAAGTTGGCGTAAGAGCGTGAGGAGAGCCATGCTGGCTCCGACTAAAGGCCCCTCAAGTCCAGAATTCTGTTCCCACGGTGGATGACCAGCTGCGTTATGGAAGCCCACCAACGGGATAAGAGCAGCAGCATCTTCCCACCTGCATGCCTGATTCTCCCCTTCTTTTATCCTCACTCACAACAGCCCTGTGAGGTGGGTAAAGTTCCAGAAGAGTTGGTTTTTATACCCCAATTTTCTCTACCCTCAGGAATCTCAAAGTGGCTTACAATCCCCGTCTTCTCCTCACAACACGCACCTTGTGAGGTAAGTGGGGCTGAGAGAATTCTGAGAGAATCATAGGAGAAGAAGAGTTGGTTTTTATACCCCTCTTTTGTCTACTACTTAGGTCCCTGCCATATGGCAGAAAAAAACATGGGCAAGTGCAGCTATTCAGAGCCCCACCAAAAGAAACACGCGGCAGTGGGATCACATAGATCCCCTGAGCTGCCGCGCCATTGCTCCCCGACACGATCAGATGCCGGGGAGGAAGCTACCGACCAGAGACCCGAGACAGCCGGCTGCGCATGTGTGCACATGCGCAGTTCGGCCAGGAGCCTTGGATGCGCCGGCAGAAGGACGCACCGGCGATCCTACGGCCGCGCTTGATGCGGCCTTTCTGGTAAGTCCACCTCTGTAGGTGGTTTCTTTTAAGTATGGATTTTCGGCCTGAAGGGCCGGATCGGGGATGGGTGCGCAACGCTTCCCAGATGTTGTGGTGGGATCGCGCCCGTTTGCTGTGCCCCCGATCTGTCCCTCTTCCGGCCCTAAACCTCTCGTGTGACCGGGGCCTTACTATCACCTTCCCTTCCTCTCCCTACAACAGGCACCTTGTGAGGTAGGTGGAGCTGAGAGAGTTCTGAGAGAACCATGACTGGCCCAAGCCTTCACTGGGAGGAGGAGTGGGGAATCAAACACGATTCTCCACTCTTAACCGCTATACTATGCTGGCTCTCACCATGCTGAGTCTGGTGTGAATGTGTGGTTTGTGTGTCTGCATGGAGAGTTACAACCCTTCAAATATGAGGGGCTCACGTCATGAAGAGCTTTAGAGGTCAAAAACCAGCACCTGGAACTCAGTCTGTTTGGCTATTCTCAAGTATAAGAAGAGAAGAGATTGGATTTATACCCCGCCCTTCACTCGGAGTCTCAAAGTGGCGTACAAACTCCTTTCCCTCCCCCTCCCTACAACAGACACCCTGTGTGGTAGGTGGGGCTGAGAGAGCTCTTTCGAGGACTGCTCTCGAGAGAACAGCTCTGACAGAACTATGTCTTGCCCAAGGTCATCCAGCAGCTGCAAGTGGAGGAGTGGGGAATCAAACTCGGTTCTCCCAGATTAGAGTCCGTACACTTAACCACTACACCAAACTGGCTCTCTGCACTGCAGGGAAAGCTATGCCGCTGGAGCCATACATTCTGGCTGTGGGGACTGGTAAACCTCCTTCTCCCATAATATTAAACCTCATGGGCATACAATGAATTTGATGGGCAGTAGACTGAAGGCAGACAAAAGGAAGCGCTTCAAAGAGCAATTCTCTGCCATGGGAATCTCCGCTGTGGGATGTGGCGATCGGCCATCAGTTTCTTTCGCTTTGAAACTCATGAAGAGCAGAATCCTCAACATCTATTAATAGTGCCTTTAAGCAGCTTGTGGTCAGCTCATTACCTGCATCCATCTGCATCCTTTTTTTGAAAGAAGCCAGATTTGGACACAGGCGGTGATCACAGACAGACTGCCATGACCTCCAGATGGGGCTGCCTTTGAAGACTGTTCAGAGACTTCTGTTAATGCAGAATGCTGCCTTGCAAGTGTTAAGCATTTCATTTCGCCATCGAGAATTTAGAAAAGATTTAAGACCTTTGATCAGTGAGCCTATGTTGACTTGATAAACTTTACAGATGTTATATTCCTCCCTGTCTCCCTTCCCCACTGCAAATCTGTTCTTTGACCTCTGAACTCTTTGCACCATTATCCAGCCAAGGGTTGGTGCCATTTTATCGCCCACAGTATATGGTTTGTTTTCCTTTTCCCCCTGTTAGGAATGTGGATGTTCTCTAAACAGAGGGAAGAGTGAATTATGTTTGTGAACAGAATGAATGAACTCATTTCAAAATAGCAGACTCTGACTTTCTTTTTCTTATCTATATAAAAAAGGAAACTCTCTGTATTTTCAGAGTACCAGCTTGGTAGGGAGAATTGAGATTTCTCACTTGAGCTTGCATCAAGAATGATCATTCTTAATAAAATTGTATTATTAAGAATTATCATTAGCTCGGAAGAGGGATCTCAGTTCTCCCCTAACAGTTAACTGCAACATCCCCTAACAGTTAATTGCAAAAACTCCACTAAGTTAACTGTAACATCTGCCTGTGAATGTATCTTGCCAGGTTTGAAAGAGCTTTGCTGGCTACTGATTCTGCTGCTGACAACAGTTCTAAGTGCCAAAGGTGATGATTTTTAAAAGCTACCTGAGTATCTGAAGAACCGCTTTCTCCCGTAAGGACCTGCTAGAGGACTACGCTGCTTTAGAAAGGCCTTGAGGAGATGTAGGTTCCTGAAAGGGCAGGGCCTTCTCTGTGGTGGGTCTCCTTTGCTGTCATTTGCCTGGCATCTTCACGGCTACATTTTGAGCACCAGTTGAAAATATTTCTGTTCACCCAGGCATTTAATATGTGTGTTTAACTGTCGGTTATTTCTAATCAGCTGTGGCTCAAGTGCAAATGATTTATCATCGCGTCCATTCATCCGTTAATTTTTAAAAGCTTTTGCTGTTTCTGCTTTTATTGACTTCAGCATAGCTGACTTTCATGTTAGCTGTTTTGAAAAGCCGTATCACATTGGGTAATTCTATGATCGCAAGGCAGAATAGAAACGGATTTAAATAAATAAGAGCTGTCACTGGAAACATCTTTCTCTTAAACAATATTTAGGGGGAAACACATCTTGAGAGTCAGTGTGGCATAGTGGTTAGAGTATAGGACTATGATCTGGGAGACCTGCGTTCAAATCCACACGCCGCCATGAAGCTTAGGGCTTTTCCACTTCCTCATTTCTCTCACTTGTATGCTCCTGCTGCTTCAGGTTTTTTTTCTGTTCCACATGTTTATTCCTCCCTCTAGTGGTCGATTCGATATTACACCAGGTAATGTCCGGTATATCTCCCTGCAGGTTTAAACTGCAGTTTTTTAAAATGCCAGACATAAAACGATGTAATATTGTATCGACCAATACAGGGAGAATAGCACATGTGGAACAGACTCCCTCCAAAGCAACAGGAACACACAAGCGAGGAAAATGAGAATTTGGAAAAAGCCCTTACTTACTTCTGCCAGTTGGGGTGAGAGTAAACGGCTTCGCAGGGTTGTTGTGAGGAAAAAAATGGGGAAGTGAGAACTATGTAAGCTGTCTTGAGCTTCTCGGAGGAAAGGGAGCATAATAGTCTGAACGACCACAACCGGTGTGGTTCCTTAGCAACTGTGACCAACCGCATCTTCATTCTTAAGGATGATGAGATGGATCAGTATTATTGGGCTTTTACTTGTTTTGGCCTCATCAACACAATCCCTTGTCCTGCTGAGGCTGGTTTCTGCAAGTGATCTTGCGCATTAGCTCTTGGAAGTTGTTTCCTTTTTATCTTTATTTTATGCAGCTGAATTTCTCCCGTGAACTCCCGAGACATCGGCTGGCCCTAGTAGACAGGTGCGCCTCCTCTTCCTGACTCGCAGGGGCGTGCATCGTGGTGTCCTTGTCCTTCAAAGCCGCCTGGTGACAGCCAATCAAATCCGACGCTAAGACGGGAGGTCATTGCCAAGGTCAAAGCGGCACACCTGTGGTCTTGCATTAGTAGTTTTGATTGACAGGCTTGTGCTCCCCGGCTTAGTCTGCCCTTCCGCGTCTGAGCGCCTGTCTCACACATCTGTCGCTGAAAGCTGAGATTGGAAAGATATTTTTTTCTAATAAAAAAGAGGGTTCATTCGTACCCTGGAGCCGATAAATATTTGCTCCTGGCGTTCGTGCCAAAGTCCTCTGAGATGATGTTGAAAATGCCTTTTCAAGGTGTGCCGCTGTGCGTCTTTTCCCTTTCTCCCCACACACTGAGAGAGAGAGAGAGAAAAAAGATTTTGGGTCGAGCTTTTTGCGGCAGGGGAAGGGTTCTTGGGCTGTGAAAAAGAGCTGTGTGTAGTGGCAGAGATCGGCAGGATCCAACCCTTTGCCTTTTCGGAAGCGAGAATGAGTCTGTGAGAATTTGTCTCCCTCCCCCAAATTTAGCAGACAGAAGAGCCAGTTGCAGTCCTGGAGACATCAGAAGAACCCTGTCCATTCAGACCAAAGACTCATTTAGTCCAGCGTCCCGGTTCCCTGCGGAAGGTAGCCAGATGTCTTCAAAAGACCCACAAAGCTGCAGCACACTGAGTCAAGCCATTGGTCTATATCAGTGTTGCTGACTCTGACTGGCAGCTGCTCTTCAGGTTCTCGGGTGGAAGTTTTTCACGTCACCTACTACTCAGTCCTTTTGATTGGAGACACCGGGAATTGAACCTGGGACCTTCTGCATTTGAAGCAGAAGCTCTACCACTAAGCCACTACCCCTCCAGAAAAGGTACTAGGGACGGAAGCGTGGACTTTCTGCATACAAAATATGTGCCATTCCACTAAGCCATTGCTCTTCTCTCATGTGGGAAACCTGCTTGGCCTTCATGGGAAGTGGGAGGCCAGACAAAACAGATTTTTGGTGTGACCCAGCAGTACCTGCATTCTTGGGACTGCGATTAGTTGTTCTGCCTGTCCTATTAAAAAAAAAAAATCCCTAGCCATGTTATGCTTTCTCAGAGGCAAAGAACAGTAGTCTGAAGTGGTGGTCTGGATTACTGTCATCTCCTTCTGTGTAATGTGTGGATCAGCTCAAGGAGAGGGGAAAATCTTAGGATGCACTAACAGAAGCACGGTGTCCAGATGACGGGAGGTGGTAGTTCCACTCTGTTCTGCTATGGCCAGGCCTCACCTGGAGTCCTGTGTCCAGTTTTGGGCACTACATTTTAGGAAGGATGTTGACAAGCTCGAGCTTGTCCAGAAGGATGGTGAGAGGGTTGGAGTCCAAGTCTTACGAGGAAAGGCTGAAAGAGTTGGGTCTGTTTAGCCTGGGAAAGAGAAGGCTTAGAGGGGACATGATTGCAGTCTTCAAGTATTTGAAGGATTGTCGTGTAGAAGATGGAGCGGATCTATTCTCTCTTGCTTCGGATTGCAAGACTAGATCTAATGGGTGGAAATTACAAGGGAGTCTGATACCGGCTAAATATCAGGAGAAACTTCCTAACTGCAAGAGTGGTTGAGCCGTGGAACAGTCTGCCTCGGGAGGTGGTGGATGCTCCTTCGCTGGATGTTTTCAAGCAAAGGCTGGATGGCCATCTTTCGGGTATGTTGTAGGGCTCTCTTTTGGCTACGCACCTGCAGAGTGCAGGGGGTTGGACTAGATGACCTGCAAGGTCCCTTCCAACTCTTAAAATTCTATGATTCCATGAAATGGGCAGATTTAAAGTAGGGGTTAAGCCCCAACTCCCCTCTCCTTGGCTCCTCCGCTTCCCCCTCCATCCTGATGTGTTCTCCTCAGGCCTCGGAGTATCCGCATGTGTCCCGGTTAGCAGGCACAACAGGCACCTGAGCAGAGAGAGAGTGCCAGGGCAGTCCAGAAAGCGAAGTCAAAGCCAGTCCAAGGGTCAGTAATTTGTTAGCTGCAGACAGGTCCGAGAAGCAGAATCCAAAGGCGGTCCAGGTAGCCCAGTCCAAGGTCAGTCTGTAAATCACAGGGAGCAAGGCAGGAGTTGTGGTCGCTCATCTGAAAATCAAAGGGTGCAAGGCACGACAGGAGTTGTGGTCACTAGATTCACAGACATGTGACTCATTGCCTCCACGGCTGGAAAGGCATGCCAGCTTGGTTTAAGTAAGCCTCTCACAAGGAGCTGAGTTATGCAAAGCAAGGTCCCGCAATCACTCAGGACTGCTGTCAGTCAAACACCTACGATGAGCCATGAGACACGCACTGCACCTTCTCTGTGTAAGTTGCTGGTGAGTTTGTTCCTGGTGTTGGTCTGCTACTGAGAGGGAATTGGGAGTCATCCTGCTCCAGCTGTTCTACATCATCCCCTCCTGTAGTCTGCCTGGAGTAGTCAGGGTCAGCTGTCAGTGCTGACTCCTGGAGCTCCTGACTTTCCTCAGCTGTTTCTTGGGAGTCTTCCTCTAGGCTGAGTTCTGACTGGTCAAGCTGACCCATGACAGCATGTCAAGGGGATGGGGTTTACTTCACCCACGGCTGCCTCCTCTGTCCCCTTCAGCTCCAGTCTCCGAGGTAACAGAGCCAGTTTGGTGTACTGGTTAAGTACGCAGACTCTAATCTGGGAGGACTGGGTTTGATTCCCCACTCCTCCACTTGCACCTGGCTGGATGACCTTGGGCAAGCCATAGTTCTGATAAGAGCTGTTCTTGAAAAAGAGCAGTTTCCGTCAGAGCTCTCTCAGCCCCACCGACCTCACAGGGTGTCTGTTGTGGGGAGGGGGAGGGAAAGGAGTTTGTAAGCCGCTCTGAGACTCCCTTGGGTAGTGAAGGGAGGGGTATAAATCCAATCTCCTCCTCCTCCTCCTCCTCTTCCTCTTCCTCCTCCTCTTCATCTACTGCTGCTATTTCTGCTACCTGGCCATCCATGGAGATCCCCTTCTTGTCCCCCCCCCACTCCTGATGGGCCCTGCATCCCGTTCTTTCTCTCTTCGCTCCTCCGGCTATTCCCTCTGGCTCGGCTATTGGCTGGGCCCCGCCAGAGCCCGCCCTCTTTCCTGACCATCCGCACCCATCCTGACTGGCCACTGCCAGAGAGGGTGGTCAGTTTGAGACAAATATTCCCTGTCTCGTGGGCGTTTTCTTGCTCCCTGGCTTCCGTTGGCATCGGTGTCTTCTGCAGGCTGCTTCTCTGGGCATCTCCCTGCCCTTGCAGTTGGGCTGCTGGCTCCTTCCTCTTACCTCCTCCCCCAACCTCCCATGCTCTGTGCAGGGGTGCGGCATCTGCTTCAGCCTTTCCACGAGGGACATTGTCCCTGTTGCCAGCAAGGGTTGGGGGGCTCACTGGGAAGGGCCTATGGGTCAGGAGGATGGGTGTGGCTTTGATGCATCTGGACAGCAGGGTTTTTGAAATTAGTTCTTCTGGAGTCAGAAAAAATAAAGATGTGGTTATATGTTCAGGGGAAGAAGTGTTGATGCATAAATTCCGTGCAAGGTTTGAGTGAAAAGCTACTCTTTGCTCAGTGACCCGAAAGTCAGTGGGTTGCAGCTTCCAAAATAAAAACAACTTTTGCGGATTCCCCCCCAAAAAAACAAACAAACAAAAAACAAGACAAGGCAACAGAAAGGGGTCCAGAGGTACTGAGTTGCAAAAGCTTAAAATCTCTCCGTTGCCTTGACCACGACCGAAAAGGAATTCTGACAGATCTTGTCATGAGGGAAATAACCCTGGTAGCTGTTTGGGAATCAGTAAGACTCCAGGAAGAATTTAGTGAGAAACATGAGCCCTTGAACATGCACAGATTCAGCTCCCTTGAATGGATCTCCTTACAGGAGTGTGTCCCAAAATTTCTGAACAGAAAACATACACAACAATAATTGTTTCAGGTTGTTTCTGCGATTTTCAGAATGATAAACACACATCTGGGATTCATAGACATAATCGAAAGCACCCCACCCATCAATGTTTATTCATGTTCCGGTGCTTCCCAGCATCATTATCATCAGCAGGTGTCTTGTTTTTCTTTGATTCTCCTGTTTTCCCGGGTAATAGCATTTCTTCCTTTCAGCTGGATCCTAGCAACGGATCAGGACAGCACTCCCAGCCAATCATATAGGATACAAGCTCCAGAGAAGGAATGTGAGGCAGTCCCTCGTGAGGACAGAGCCAAATTCTGTAAAATTCCTTAAATAGCAATAGTAATTAAGGTACCCCTACAGTGGATGCATAGTGTGAAGATGTGTGTCTTGTCTTGTGCAATCATACACACAAACATATGCTCAATTTTTTTGGAAAATAGCTGAAATTCTTTCAAAGATTGCAGATATTGACAGGTGGGGAGACGTTTTCTGCAAAGCCTTACTTGTTTTGTGAAAAGAGATAACAGACCACAACGAGGAAGGATGGCAAATGTAGAGGGTTTTTTTTGTGTGGAAAGGTAATTTTTTTTAAATTGCCAGACAGTAAGATTATGTAAAGAAACCAGATGCAGCCAGGGGTTTTAAAAAATGCTGTCAGCCAGTGTGGTCCTGGGGGCTGCTGCTGTTTCCCTCCATAGGAAATAGTGGAAGTGCGCTGGGGGGGGCACCTACTTTGGGGGGGGGTCAGTAAAACTGAATCCCTCTGTCCATTCTGCTTGCAATTTAGGATGTCTTTAGATAAGAGGGAGGACTGTGTTCTGTGCAAATTCGGTGCCATTATCTTTACAAACAGCTGCCCCCATTGAAACTAACAGTTCTAAGTTGACTCTGTTATGAAAGCCAGCGAGTTTTTGCGGCAGCAACGTGGACCAACGGGGGGAAGATGACGAGGAGAACGATAAGGGAAGTGATGATGAAGCACTTACTGGAGAGGACTCAGACTCGGAACGGGGTGGTGGTGGCGGCCCCCAAGCAAGGATATCGTTTGAGGGAAAGAAGAAACAAAAAATGAGATGCTAACTTTTTCTGAAGTTTGCTTTATTTTCATTTACTACCCTGCTTCCCCGAAAATAAGACCTACCCAAAAAACAAGCCCTAGCAGGATTTCTATGCATTTGTGGTATAAGCCCTAGTCTTCTTGAGAAAAAATAAATATAAGACAGTGTCTTATTTCCGGGGAAACATGGTAATACATAATCATTTATCTGTATTGTTCTTTGATAAGTCAGAATATTTGGACATGAAACATTTAAGAAGTGTTAATGATCACCTTTAATGTAACCAATTATCTCTTATTTTAATTTAAGCATTATATGACCACCACCTCTTGGGGTTTTAGTAGTTATCTTTACTTTCTCCCATAGTTTATAGTGTTCCCTTCCCTATTTTCTTGTAGTTTTTGGAAAATAAGAAAAATAATTAAAAAAGAAAGAAACTAACAGTCCTGCCATTCTAGGACACCCCCCTCCCCAAGGAAACATAGGTTTGAATCCCACACTGGTACTCTCCGAAAATCAGGAATAATTACGGTGTCCTCCCTGAATCCCAGATTTGAAACGATAATGAAATTTTTCTTGGCGCATACTTCTGCTCATTTTCCTTGGTTCAGAAGTGTTCTCCTGGAATTGCCTCACAATACAACTTTTATCTCGTCTTTCAGAGCCAGCCTCCCATGTGTTAAATAGTCGTGCAGGCAGAAAGATACTGGAAGTGGGGAAAACGAGTTCGATGTGTCATTCCTAGAAAGCGCAGAGATGTGGGGGTAGAACATTCTGTGAACATCCTTAGGGGGAAAAAGAGGTTTTCTTTTTTGGGGGGTGAATAGTGGAGTTGGGATTCACAGGCAAATAACTGGGTTAATTTGATTATTTGATTTTCATTCACTCTGATACACAGAGCAGTTG